GAGGAGAAGATTTTTGTAAAAAATTACAAAAATTTACGAAAAATGGTTAAAAATTGACTATAAAGGGCAATAACTCCTTAAGGGGTCAACTGACAATTTTGGTCAAGTTGACTTATTTGTAGATCTTACTTTGCTGAACATTATTGCTGTTTACAGTTTATCTCTATCTATAATAATATTCAAGATAATAACCAAAAACGGCAAAATTTCCTTAAAATTACCAATTCAGGGGCAGCAACCCAACAACGGGTTGCCTGATTGGTAAGAAAATTTCAGGGCAGATAGATCTTGACCTAATGAACAATTGTATACTCATCAGATTTGCTCTAAATGCTTTGGTTTCAGAGATATGAGCCAAAAACTGCATTTTACCCTATGTACTATTTTTTAGCCATGTCGGCCATCTTGGTTCACAGGCCGGGTCATCGGACACATTTTTTAAACAAGATACCCTAATGATGATTGTGGACAAGTTTGGTTAAATTTGTCTTAGTAGTTTCAGAGGAGAAGATTTTTGTAAAAGATTACAAAAATTTACGAAAAATGGTTAAAAATTGACTATAAAGGGCAATAACTCCTTAAGGGGTCAACTGACCATTTTGGTCAAGTTGACTTATTTGTAGATCTTACTTTGCTGAACATTATTGCTGTTTACAGTTTATCTCTATCTATAATAATATTCAAGATGATAACCAAAAACGGCAAAATTTCCTTAAAATTACCAATTCAGGGGCAGCAACCCAACAACAGGTTGTCCGATTCATCTGAAAATTTCAGGGCAGATAGATCTTGAACTAATAAACAATTTTACCCCATGTCAGATTTGCTCTAAATGCTTTGGTTTCAGAGATATAAGCCAAAATCTACATTTTACCCCTATGTTCTATTTTTAGCCATGGCGGCCATCTTGGTTGGTTGGCCGGGTCACCGGACACATTTTTTAAACTAGATACCCCAATGATGATTGTGGCCAAGTTTGGTCAAATTTGGCCCAGTAGTTTCAGAGGAGAAGATTTTTGTAAAAGTTTACGGACGACGGACGACGGACGCAAAATGATGAGAAAAGCTCACTTATCAGGTGAGCTAAAAAGTGATTATCAAGGGGAAAAAACCTCAACTGTAGGACATATCAATTGGACAGACAAGTAAGTTTCTAAATATTTTTGAACCAAAAAATGAGTGGTAAATATTGATCATTGTTGATTGCAGATGCTGATCCAGGATTTTTAAAAAGGGGCTGGGGGGTCTGGGGGCCCCAAACTAGGCAAAGTTTGGAGCACGAAATGTAAAACGTTAATGCATTAACCATACATGTAGCTCAATAAGGGGGCAGGGGCCCTATCTCCTCTAAATCCCAATCTGGATTGATTGGTATAAAGTAAAGACAAATAAAATGCTCTGCAGGGTGCAGATTGATACATGTATGACCACAGAAGTCGGTCCATGTACAGTTGGGGCAAGTATGGACACAACATTCAAGCTTGATACAGCTCTGAATTTGGATTATGATAAAATATTTGACACAGCATAGGTTTCTGACACAGAATGAATGTGAACAAAGAACTGAAAAATTTGAAATTTGATTTTTACCTATTACATGTATGGTCCAACATGTCCAATATCCTAATCTAAATACATGGTTAGATTCAGCATACATGTATTAAAGAACCCTAAGAATTCAATTTTTGATGAAATCAAACAAAGTTTAATTTTGGACCCTTTGGATTTCAATGTGGACCAATTTGATAACAGGGCAAAAAAACAAAATCTAAATTCACAGTTAGATTCAGCATATATCATGTATATAGCCCCATATATTCAATTTTTTTTTAAATCAAACAAAGTTTAATTTTGGAATCCGATTTGGAGTCCGAGTAACTTGAAAACTGGGCCAAAAATTGAAAAATTTAATTACATGTTTAAATTTAGAATATCAAATAACCCCCATAATTTCAATTTTGGTTAAAATCTTACCAAGTTTAATTTTGGACCCTTTGGACTTCAATGAAAACCAATTTGAAAACCGGGCCCAAAATCAAAATTCTAAATACATGGTTAGATTCAGGTGTAATACCACCAAATCATCATGATCATAGTACGTCACATCGGGTTGCATACAAACAAGGGTTGAAAAAAAATATTCCCTTGAATTTGACAGTCGTAGGAAATTAATCCTACATTTCTTTGTAGTGAAAAATTTCTGAGTCATAAACATATATCTTGGGTGTTTCAAAGCACCCTTATTTTTTTATTTGATGTTTCTATAGAATATTTCTGAAACTTGAGGTTACATGGTTACTAAAGCTTGTACATGTACACAGGAAAAAAAGAGGTGAAAATTTTATTGGTTAACTTCCAGTGATGGTTATTTTCTTATATGCAACGAAATGTTATGTGAAATTTTGTCTATAGTACTGGACAGGATAAAACTTTACTCATGCCAAGTATTTCTTTATTTGAAACAAAGATAAATTCTGCACAATTTTTTGAAAAGTGCAAATTTAACAAGGACTAATAGGGGAAAATCAATGGTGGTACTACACCTTCAGCATATCAAAGACCCCAAGAATTAAATTTTTGATGAAATTAAATTTTATTAATTTTAATTTTAACCCTTTGAACCTCAATGTGGACCAATTTAAAAGTGGGGCCCAAAAATTTAAAATCTAAATGCACTGTTAGATTCAGCACATAAAAGAACCCCAAGAATTCAAAACTTTGAATTAAACCTCATTGAAATTGGTCAAGAAAAAAAAAAGCAATTTATACAAAGCATTAAAAAGTATTGTTTTTGGCCCCTTTTTTCTAAACAGTTCATTTGCAGTTATCCATAACACCCAAAATCAATCTCAACCTTCCTTTTTTGGTATGGAACCTTGTGGTACAATTTCATAGAGATCCATAGACAAATACTCAAGTTATTGTCCTGAAACCAGAAAATTCTTGTTTTTTGGCCCCTAATTCCTAAATGGTTAGGGCCATAACTCCCAAAATTCCTTTTGAGGTATGAACCCTTTTGGTACAATTTCATAGTGATACACGTTATTTTCCTGAAACAAAAATAAAGGCATTTTTTTTACCACTCTTTGGCCCCTAATTCCTAAAGAGTTAAGACAATATATAACCCCAAAAAGCAATCCCAACCTTCCTTTTCAGTTTTGTGGTATGGAACCTAGTGGTACAAATTCATTGAGATCCATGCACTTATACTCAAGTTATTGTTTGGAAAACAAAACCCTCGGACGCAATGACAACATACCATTTATATAGCCATATAAAAAGCAGAATAGAATTCTAAATACCGATACTTTTGGTTATATAAATTTAAGACTCAACTTACTGCCCTAAAAATAAGACTAATTTTAACAAACAATGTTGAGTCTGACATGCTTAATTTTAGAAACTAACTAAAACTGTTTTTTTTTTTATGTAAATTCAGTCTATAAACTATTGATCAGTAACAATTTTCAACCTTTAAAATTGAAGTTTTCCTTTCAAGCTTACATCATTTTTCAGTGATTGATTCAATTCAGAAATACATCAAATCTTAATTTGAAAACATGTCGGTATGCTATGTCACAAAACGGATAGCAAAAATAGTGTGAAGAAAATAATTAAAACATACAATTTATTTATTTTGCAGTATCTTGTAGGATGTACATGCAAATAAAATATGAGGCATATCAAATTCCAGCGGTTGCACACATATCTGAATGACACGGTGAAAAGTTAAAGTTAAAGCAAGCAACTATAACCAAAAATCGTTTACAAGTTACATAAATGTACATGTGAATTGTAAAGTCTACTTTCTGGGTAAGTTTTGACATTAATCATATAATATTTTTATTACCCACAGATCTGGCAAAATCGGCTGAATCAGCAATTTTCTCAACAAGCAGTGAAATTTAAGGGGGTTTCTTATTCTAGTTACCCCAAATCAATTTTTTAATGATAAATTTTACAAAATTAATAGTTAAAATAAACACCTTACATGCCTAAGTTTATTTAATGTACATCAACATGATCAAAGGATATACCAGTTAAAGTGGAAAGGTAGTACAATGTATTTCCTAGGCCATAGGGATGATAGCCTTTTTAGAATGTTCACCATGTTCTAACACTAATATACAATGTATGGCACATTGATAATGTATGCAAATGTAATGCACAGAATATTATCGTCCACTAAGTCCACCACTACATGTACAATGTATATATATATCTTTGCATGTTCAAAATTTCAGAAGCATCCACAATGTGAGTAGAGTACATTGTGTGCATGCATGTAAAATATATACAATGCTTTGATTGTTGCTCTCCATCTTCATGATTATCGCTGAAATGTCAAGTACAAATGTATGGACTGAAAATCATAGAAAATCTTTTATGTTCAAACAGCCAGTACTGTCATGACTGTACTTATATGGTCTAAAGCCATTTCTGTTAATGCTTGGGATTTTTCAAGTAACTTTTGGATTCAGTTTTATTCTTTATTAAATTACATGTAAACTAGAATTATTTTATTTTGGCCAATGCTGATACTATAATTATTTTTCTTCCCATTTGGAATCAGATTATTTTTTTCTTCAAAAAACCATAACCCCAGCCGTTAAGTCAAATAGTTGCTCACTCAACAAATCACAGATGCAATAGTACATGTAGTACAAACCATTTTTTCTGATATGAAAGAATGAGTGTACAACAAGTACAGGTTCAAGATGCACATCCATCATGTCTTACAGTCTTAGGCCAGTTACATGATGTATAATTACTTTTGTTCTGCCATTTACACATTCATTGGGATATTGGACTTAAAATGGAGAAAATAGAAAGGACATTTATTTATTGGCCTAATTGGGAATGGGACCTACATGTATTTTTAGCAATATTTTTTATGGTTATTTTTTCATTCAAATATTAGAAAGCACTGAAATTTATCTCATAAATGTATTGTTGTCATACACCCTCAAATACATGTAAACTCATCTATATATTCTTACCATTTCTTCTGTATGTGCCAAAAAAACATGACACTCATAATCACAGTACAGATTAGGCCTAGATAAGTAAGCAAAGCATCTTGGGTCCTGGTGTGTTTTGGCAAACTTAGACAAACAAATCAGTTTATGAGAGAATAGTACTTTAGGTTCCTCACTTTCATCATTAAGTAATGTAGCCTGTAGAATATGTGGAAGAACTCTCAGATTCACTTCTTTAAAGGATTCCTTTCTTCTTTTAACTTCTGCCATCACCCAGGGCATCACATATTGTGGTGGATATCTTCTGTCCAGAATTGAGGACCCCAGGTACATTACAACAAAAATTCTATTTGTATCTGGTTCTTCACCTGTGATTTCCATGTCTGTTTCTGTTATTTTGATGTTGCAATGTTTCAAAAATAATGTGCAGAAATATATAATTAGATCCTAGTCACTAATGGTTTTTTATGTTGTGGTTAAGTGACCCAGTTTAAACACAGTTACAATGACAAAGTTGTGATTTTTCTGTTGAAAAGTCTTGACAACTTGTATTGACACACTCATTCTTATCTTTACTATATTAAGATCAAGAGCACACGCTTTAAACTTGTTGTTTATAATATTTAAGTTTAGATACGTCCCGTTGTTTGTTATGACCTGTGTGCATTTCTGCCAACAGCTGATTGAGTTCAATGACCGCCATCTTGTGACGTTGTGCAACAAACATGAAAATGAAAGTTTATGTTTTTTCCTATGAAGATCATTTGAATGTGCGATACAAATTAAATATCTGATATTTGCTGTCCTTTTGCAATGCCTTACAATGTCACATCTGTATTGTTTTCACACGTGCATAATCAGGTACCGGAAGGAAAAAATCAATGAGGTGCATCTTGGGAAAAAAATACCGGCAGAATGACTGAGCAACGTTGGGTACCACTGGAATCAAATCCTGACGTAAGTACCGTACGAAAAGCTGTTATTTTCTAAGAAAGTGGTAAACAATAAAAAAATGTAACTTGCAGGCTATTCCCAATTTTTAATTTGCCTTTTTTTCTATTTGCAGGTATTAAACAAGGTATGATATGAAGGAGATGGTCAAAGGGAAATAACTCTTACAGAAACATGAATCATCACTACTCTTAAGTTTTTTGTTTAGTCTATCACGTCGGAATACGCAGTGGCGGATCCAGAACTTTTCATAAGGGGGCCCGCTGACTGACCTAAGGGGGGCCCCGCTCCAGTCATGCTTCAGTGATTCCCTATATGGCCTCAGACCACAATTATTCTTCCCATTGGTTACAATGCATTTTTTGGTAAAAGTCTTATTGAATTAAAAAAATTGCACCGCTTCAAACATGAAATAAATTTACCTGCTTATAGACCATTATTATTTGAATAAAATATGCTTGTCCCAGGACAATCCATCAGTGCTTTTTCTTTTGAGAGCCATATTAACATGCCAATGGTAGGATTTGAATATTGAATAAATGACGAAGGCTAATTTCTACCCTACTTTCATTTTGGCCGAATCACTACTTTCACTTTCAACAATAAATTTTTTCCACATGTTTTACTTATTTCAATATATATGCAACTGATAGGACCACTTAAATAGTAAACATTTCAAAGAAAACAGTAGTCAGAATACTTAGGAAGAAATACCCCATATAATAATTGGGAACTATATTCCTAGACCACGAACAAAGGGAATTAATTGTGGTCTGAAGCCATATAATCAACCAAATTTTTCCCACAAAAGGGGGGCCTGGGCCCCCAGGCCCCCCCTGGATCCGCCTATGATACGTCATTCGACGAGACAAATATATTACTTTTCATACAGTCATGGAGCGAGAAAAACAGTTGTAATATATATATCAAAAGTTAAATGGTCTTATTTTAAGAGTGTTTGCACTGACCTCATTGTTATGCTTCAAGGATAGACCTAGTCCAAATAATTATGACTCTTGAAAGGCTATTTTATTTTTTTGCGATGACTCCTAGGGTAGATGGCCTTCAGTGGCGGATCCAGAAATTTTTATAAGAGGGGGCCCACTGACTGCCTAAGAGGGGGCCCGCTCCAGTCACGCTTCAGTGATTCCCTATATAATCAACCAAATTTTTCCCGCAAAAGGGGGGGGCCCGGGCCCCCTGGGCCCCCCTAAATCCGCCTCTGTCCTTAATGCTATAGTATATGGGAATCTGGGATACCTGAACTGGTGTCATACACAACAATCAATTTTTCATAGTGGCTTCAGAGTAAGTTCAGACAAATTCTATTGTGACGTAAACATTTTATGGAAACCATTGTGATGTCCAGTAATAATAGACAAATAGTGATAAGTTGTATTAGGGTGACTCAGGGCTGCTAAGTCTCACGCAATTAGCACGAGACTCGCGCATTTTCATGCTTATTTGGCGGCATTTTCCTTTGATCTATTGTGTTTTTTTCTCTTTATAATTTTAGCCAAATCTCACACATTTGCTTCATGAAAACTTGGCAGTTTTTGGTGATTTATTAATACATGTATTGCTGTGTGTTTGTTTATTCTGCATTGGCTTGAGGTATAGGGCAGGGTTGAGATCTCACAAAACATGTTTAACCCTGCCACATTTTTGCGCCTGTCCGAAGTCAGGAACCTCTGGCCTTTGTTAGTCTTGGATGTTTTTTAATTTTAGTTCATTTATATGTTTTGGAGTTTAGTGTGACGTCCATTTTCATTGAACTAGTACACATTTTTGTTTAGAGATCAGCTGAAGCCCACCTCCGGGTGCGGGATTTTCTCGCTGTATTGAAGACCCATTGATGGCCTTCGGCTGTTTTCTGCTCTTTGGTCAGGTTGTTGTCTCTTTGACACATTCCCCATTTCCATTCTCAATTTTATGATCTTCCAACTGGTGCTTTTACCTGGAAAAATTGGACGTCACAAAGCAAACGTTTTCACATCATAATTTTTCTAATGAGTTTTCCACAAATGACTCCTGTTAGTTTATTTATAAAATTGTAAAAGGAAACCTGTCTATAGAATAAATAAAACTTTGATTTGATTTGATTAGAATCCCGGTCTGTTGGCTTTGAATCGATGTACAGTCTCTCTACAGTAGCATAAGTGGAAGGGTCGATTTGGGTTAAAGATTTTTCTAACAACCTGATGCCATTTTATCATGCCAACATGAATCAGGGTGAAACATCAATTTTACATGGACTTTATATATATTCCTGTAAAATATGAGATCAAATGAGAAAATGTCAAGTCATATTGATTGTGTCATGACATTATTAAAGTGCAACAATATCTAGGGTTAAGTGTCACCAATTTCAAATTATTTAGTGTTGGGGTGGTCTAAATTTTAAACAATAGAATTTTCAAAAATTAACCATGAATGAAGTTTAAATCATATATATACTACTGGTATTTTAAAAAATATGACAAAAAGTATTGGTTTTAGAACTTTTTTCAAGCAACTGGTCAACTATCAGTTACAATCTTATGTTAATTTATGCAAGAATCTAATCCTTCATACTTCATACTGCTGTTATCTTCAGACAAATATGTTTATTCATTTGTAAATACATTACTGTTTATTTTGTTTAAGTAGATTAAGACAAAGGACTCCCTGCAAGTTAAGAATCATTGCAACAACTCTTTTAGGGGTCCATATGTGACCTGTTGCAAGGCAAAATTTCTGTTCTTATCAAATATACCCTCATTTTGCATAATATTTTATTTTAAATTGGATCTCTTCCTTGAACACTAGCTATAGTCATCTTACAGGCATGTCAAATCTCACGCATTGCACAAAAATTCCTTGATTTTTCCCACATTCGCCATGTAAAGTTTGATAGATTGTTGTTAAAACATTGTTTGTTAACCCAAAATAGAGTGTCCATGAGTCGGGTGCATGACTCCATGTTACTGATACAAATGTAAGTTATGTTGGCTAATTAATTCTATGATGTTTTGTTTTTTTGTTCGATTGCAAGAAGTTGAATAAATTCGAATTACTCACTTGCTGAATAAACGAAAAAGATCACAGAACATAGCACAAATTAAGATTGAAATATATAATAAGAAGGAGATGTGGTATGATTGCCAATGAGACAATTATCCACCAGAGTTCAAATGAAATGGATATAAACCAATATAGGTCACTATACAGCCTTCAACAATGAGAAAAACCCATGCCTATTGACAGCTATAAAAAGCCCCAATCGAAAAACTGAAGGCCTGATTTATAACAATATAATTTGCGAAAAACAAATAGGATAGACAAGAACCAATAGTGTAGTAGCACAACATAAGGACAAACTGTAAAAATCAGTTGTCAATTACTTAACTCCATAGACCTATACGAAGCACAAAATAAAAACTAACATAAAAACAAAAGACACAAATCAACGATAAAAGAGCATTTGTGGTTAATGAAAACTAGTTCAAAGCCACTTACAACAAATAAATAAATTATGTGCTCCTAGACTTAAGTATTAATCGCGACACATCCAACAGATTTAGTGCAAAGACGTCATAAACAGTGAGAAATGCATGACCTTGTACATTGCCAAAATATAATGTTCACTCTATATGTTGTATTGGAGATAACATTTAGTACAGAATACAAGATAGACATGATAGATGGAAATACCAACATAAAATACTCACTTCTGAATGAATTGATTGATAATTGAAAAATGACCAATACTTTCATTATTCATGTTGACTCGTTAACTTTGTGGTATCTGTTTGGCTGTAGGAGATATATAGTTGCTAATCTTCTACAGCATGATACCGGTAAGTAAATGTATGTGAATCTTCAGATTATTGTGTGTCTTTTTCTTCTGTGTAAAGAGAAAACTTAGTTACAAGAATAGCCTAAGATTTTCTTCTAACACAACCATAAATTGCAAAATTCTATAAATATTCTGCCAAAAAAAAAACAAATACTAAGAGATCAACATATGAAGTACATAGTAGTATGATAGTTTGATTTGTTGATTGCTTCATGTCAAGTGGCAAATATTTCATGCATCTTTAGGACGAAATAGTAGTATGAACGATATCTATAAAACCTCTAAATTAATTGAAGGCAAACAAAACAGTCTCTCATTATGATATTGTGATTTGTATATGTTAGCTGTTGTGATTACATCTGACTTTTTTGCAGTACATTTTCAACCTAGGCGTCCCTAAAGAATGGCAGTTTGTAGATATTTATGGACTGGATGCAGATCTGTTAGGAATGGTGCCACGACCAGTAGCTGCTGTAGTATTGTTGTATCCAATCACAGAAAAGGTTTGTCAGTTATTGCTGGAGAAATCTATTATAGGGTTTGGTCTACCTGCCACGACCAGTAGCTGCTGTAGTATTGTTGTCTCTAATCACAGAAAAGGTTTGTCAGTTAATGTTGGAGAAATCTATTATAGGGTTTGGTCTACCTGCCACGACCAGTAGCTGCTGTAGTATTGTTGTCTCTAATCACAGAAAAGGTTTGTCAGTTAATGTTGGAGAAATCTATTATAGGGTTTGGTCTATCTGCCATGACCAGTAGCTGCTGTAGTATTGTTGTCTCTAATCACAGAAAAGGTTTGTCAGTTAATGTGGGAGAAATCTATTATAGGGTTTGGTCTACCTGCCACGACCAGTAGCTGCTGTAGTATTGTTGTATCTAATCACAGAAAAGGTTTGTCAGTTAATGTGGGAGAAATCTATTATAGTGTTTGGTCTACCTGCCACGACCAGTAGCTTCTGTAGTATTGTTGTATCCAATCACAGAAAAGGTTTGTCAGTTAATGTTGGAGAAATCTATTATAGGGTTTGGTCTATCTGCCACGACCAGTAGCTGCTGTAGTACTGTTGTATCTAATCACAGAGAAGGTTTGTCAGTTAATGTGGGAGAAATCTATTATAGGGTTTGGTCTACCTGCCATGACCAGTAGCTTCTGTAGTATTGTTGTATCCAATCACAGAAAAGGTTTGTCAGTTAATGTGGGAGAAATCTATTATAGGGTTTGGTCTACCTGCCACGACCAGTAGCTGCTGTAGTATTGTTGTATCTAATCACAGAAAAGGTTTGTCAGTTAATGTGGGAGAAATCTATTATAGGGTTTGGTCTATCTGCCACGACCAGTAGCTGCTGTAGTATTGTTGTCTCTAATCACAGAAAAGGTTTGTCAGTTAATGTGGGAGAAATCTATTATAGGGTTTGGTCTACCTGCCACGACCAGTAGCTGCTGTAGTATTGTTGTATCTAATCATAGAAAAGGTTTGTCAGTTAATGTGGGAGAAATCTATTATAGGGTTTGGTCTACCTGCCACTACCAGTAGCTGCTGTAGTATTGTTGTCTCTAATCACAGAAAAGGTTTGTCAGTTAATGTGGGAGAAATCTATTATAGGGTTTGGTCTACCTGCCATGACCAGTAGCTGCTGTAGTATTGTTGTCTCTAATCATAGAAAAGGTTTGTCAGTTATTGTGGGAGAAATCTATTATAGGGTTTGGTCTACCTGCCACTACCAGTAGCTGCTGTAGTACTGTTGTATCCAATCACAAAGAAGGTTTGTCAGTTAATGTGGGAGAAATCTATTATAGGGTTTGGTCTATCTGCCACGACCAGTAGCTGCTGTAGTATTGTTGTCTCTAATCATAGAAAAGGTTTGTCAGTTAATGTGGGAGAAATCTATTATAGGGTTTGGTCTACCTGCCACTACCAGTAGCTGCTGTAGTATTGTTGTCTCTAATCACAGAAAAGGTTTGTCAGTTAATGTGGGAGAAATCTATTATAGGGTTTGGTCTACCTGCCATGACCAGTAGCTGCTGTAGTATTGTTGTCTCTAATCATAGAAAAGGTTTGTCAGTTATTGTGGGAGAAATCTATTATAGGGTTTGGTCTACCTGCCACTACCAGTAGCTGCTGTAGTACTGTTGTATCCAATCACAAAGAAGGTTTGTCAGTTAATGTGGGAGAAATCTATTATAGGGTTTGGTCTACCTGCCATGACCAGTAGCTGCTGTAGTATTGTTGTCTCTAATCACAGAAAAGGTTTGTCAGTTAATGTGGGAGAAATCTATTATAGGGTTTGGTCTACCTGCCATGACCAGTAGCTGCTGTAGTATTGTTGTCTCTAATCACAGAAAAGGTTTGTCAGTTAATGTGGGAGAAATCTATTATAGGGTTTGGTCTATCTGCCACGACCAGTAGCTGCTGTAGTATTGTTGTATCTAATCACAGAAAAGGTTTGTCAGTTAATGTGGGAGAAATCTATTATAGGGTTTGGTCTATCTGCCACGACCAGTAGCTGCTGTAGTATTGTTGTCTCTAATCACAGAAAAGGTTTGTCAGTTAATGTGGGAGAAATCTATTATAGGGTTTGGTCTATCTGCCACGACCAGTAGCTGCTGTAGTATTGTTGTCTCTAATCACAGAAAAGGTTTGTCAGTTAATGTGGGAGAAATCTATTATAGTGTTTGGTCTACCTGCCACGACCAGTAGCTGCTGTAGTATTGTTGTATCTAATCACAGAAAAGGTTTGTCAGTTAATGTGGGAGAAATCTATTATAGGGTTTGGTCTATCTGCCACGACCAGTAGCTGCTGTAGTAATGTTTTATCTAATCACAGAAAAGGTTTGTCAGTTAATGTGGGAGAAATCTATTATAGGGTTTGGTCTACTTGCCACTACCAGTAGCTGCTGTAGTATTGTTGTCTCTAATCATAGAAAAGGTTTGTCAGTTAATGTGGGAGAAATCTATGATAGGGTTTGGTCTACTTGCCACGACCAGTAGCTGCTGTAGTATTGTTGTATCTAATCACAGAAAAGGTTTGTCAGTAAATGTTGGAGAAATCTATTATAGGGTTTGGTCTATCTGCCATGACCAGTAGCTGCTGTAGTATTGTTGTCTCTAATCACAGAAAAGGTTTGTCAGTTAATGTGGGAGAAATCTATTATAGGGTTTGGTCTACCTGCCACTACCAGTAGCTGCTGTAGTACTGTTGTATCCAATCACAAAGAAGGTTTGTCAGTTAATGTGGGAGAAATCTATTATAGGGTTTGGTCTACCTGCCACGACCAGTAGCTGCTGTAGTATTGTTGTATCTAATCATAGAAAAGGTTTGTCAGTTAATGTGGGAGAAATCTATTATAGGGTTTGGTCTATCTGCCACGACCAGTAGCTGCTGTAGTATTGTTGTATCCAATCACAGAAAAGGCTTGTCAGTTATTGCTGGAGAAATCTATTATAGGGTTTGGTCTATCTGCCACGACCAGTAGCTGCTGTAGTATTGTTGTCTCTAATCATAGAAAAGGTTTGTCAGTTAATGTGGGAGAAATCTATTATAGGGTTTGGTCTACCTGCCACTACCAGTAGCTGCTGTAGTATTGTTGTCTCTAATCACAGAAAAGGTTTGTCAGTTAATGTGGGAGAAATCTATTATAGGGTTTGGTCTACCTGCCATGACCAGTAGCTGCTGTAGTATTGTTGTCTCTAATCATAGAAAAGGTTTGTCAGTTATTGTGGGAGAAATCTATTATAGGGTTTGGTCTACCTGCCACTACCAGTAGCTGCTGTAGTACTGTTGTATCCAATCACAAAGAAGGTTTGTCAGTTAATGTGGGAGAAATCTATTATAGGGTTTGGTCTACCTGCCATGACCAGTAGCTGCTGTAGTATTGTTGTCTCTAATCACAGAAAAGGTTTGTCAGTTAATGTGGGAGAAATCTATTATAGGGTTTGGTCTACCTGCCATGACCAGTAGCTGCTGTAGTATTGTTGTCTCTAATCACAGAAAAGGTTTGTCAGTTAATGTGGGAGAAATCTATTATAAGGTTTGGTCTACTTGCCACTACCAGTAGCTGCTGTAGTACTGTTGTATCCAATCTCAGAGAAGGTCAGTTAATGTGGGAGAAATCTATTATAGGGTTTGGTCTACCTGCCACGACCAGTAGCTGCTGTAGTATTGTTGTATCTAATCACAAAGAAGGTTTGTCAGTTAATGTTGGAGAAATATATTATAGGGTTTGGTCTACTTGCCATGACCAGTAGCTGCTGTAGTATTGTTGTCTCTAATCACAGAAAAGGTTTGTCAGTTAATGTGGGAGAAATCTATTATAAGGTTTGGTCTACTTGCCACGACCAGTAGCTGCTGTAGTACTGTTGTATCCAATCACAAAGAAGGTTTGTCAGTTAATGTGGGAGAAATATATTATAGGGTTTGGTCTATCTGCCACGACCAGTAGCTGCTGTAGTATTGTTGTCTCTAATCACAGAAAAGGTTTGTCAGTTAATGTGGGAGAAATCTATTATAGGGTTTGGTCTACCTGCCACGACCAGTAGCTGCTGTAGTATTGTTGTATCTAATCACAGAAAAGGTTTGTCAGTTAATGTTGGAGAAATATATTATAGGGTTTGGTCTATCTGCCACGACCAGTAGCTGCTGTAGTATTGTTGTCTCTAATCACAGAAAAGGTTTGTCAGTTAATGTGGGAGAAATCTATTATAAGGTTTGGTCTACCTGCCACTACCAGTAGCTGCTGTAGTACTGTTGTCTCTAATCACAGAAAAGGTTTGTCAGTTAATGTTGGAGAAATCTATTATAGGGTTTGGTCTATCTGCCACGACCAGTAGCTGCTGTAGTATTGTTGTCTCTAATCACAGAAAAGGTTTGTCAGTTAATGTGGGAGAAATCTATTATAGGGTTTGGTCTATCTGCCACGACCAGTAGCTGCTGTAGTATTGTTGTCTCTAATCACAGAAAAGGTTTGTCAGTTAATGTGGGAGAAATCTATTATAGGGTTTGGTCTATCTGCCACGACCAGTAGCTGCTGTAGTATTGTTGTCTCTAATCACAGAAAAGGTTTGTCAGTTAATGTGGGAGAAATCTATTATAGGGTTTGGTCTATCTGCCACGACCAGTAGCTGCTGTAGTATTGTTGTCTCTAATCATAGAAAAGGTTTGTCAGTTAATGTGGGAGAAATCTATTATAAGGTTTGGTCTACTTGCCATGACCAGTAGCTGCTGTAGTATTGTTGTATCTAATCATAGAAAAGGTTTGTCAGTTAATGTGGGAGAAATCTATTATAGGGTTTGGTCTACCTGCCACGACCAGTAGCTTCTGTAGTATTGTTGTCTCTAATCACAGAAAAGGTTTGTCAGTTAATGTGGGAGAAATCTATTATAGGGTTTGGTCTATCTGCCACGACCAGTAGCTGCTGTAGTATTGTTGTATCTAATCACAGAAAAGGTTTGTCAGTTAATGTGGGAGAAATCTATTATAGGGTTTGGTCTATCTGCCACGACCAGTAGCTGCTGTAGTATTGTTGTATCCAATCACAAAGAAGGTTTGTCAGTTAATGTGGGAGAAATCTATTATAAGGTTTGGTCTACCTGCCACGACCAGTAGCTGCTGTAGTATTGTTGTCTCTAATCACAGAGAAGGTCAGTTAATGTGGGAGAAATCTATTATAGGGTTTGGTCTACCTGCCACTACCAGTAGCTGCTGTAGTATTGTTGTATCCAATCACAAAGAAGGTTTGTCAGTTAATGTGGGAGAAATCTATTATAGGGTTTGGTCTATCTGCCACGACCAGTAGCTGCTGTAGTATTGTTGTATCCAATCACAAAGAAGGTTTGTCAGTTAATGTGGGAGAAATCTATTATAGGGTTTGGTCTATCTGCCACGACCAGTAGCTGCTGTAGTATTGTTGTCTCTAATCATAGAAAAGGTTTGTCAGTTAATGTGGGAGAAATCTATTATAAGGTTTGGTCTATCTGCCACGACCAGTAGCTGCTGTAGTATTGTTGTCTCTAATCATAGAAAAGGTTTGTCAGTTAATGTGGGAGAAATCTATTATAGGGTTTGGTCTATCTGCCACGACCAGTAGCTGCTGTAGTATTGTTGTCTCTAATCATAGAAAAGGTTTGTCAGTTAATGTGGGAGAAATCTATTATAGGGTTTGGTCTACTTGCCACGACCAGTAGCTGCTGTAGTATTGTTGTCTCTAATCACAGAAAAGGTTTGTCAGTTAATGTGGGAGAAATCTATTATAGGGTTTGGTCTATCTGCCACGACCAGTAGCTGCTGTAGTATTGTTGTATCCGATCACAGAAAAGGTTTGTCAGTTAATGTTGGAGAAATCTATTATAAGGTTTGGTCTACCTGCCACGACCAGTAGCTGCTGTAGTATTGTTGTCTCTAATCACAGAAAAGGTTTGTCAGTTAATGTGGGAGAAATCTATTATAGGGTTTGGTAGACCTGTTTGTATACTTATCCATTTTTTGTTTGTTGCAGATTGTTTTATTTTGGGTTTTTAGGAAGAAAACACGAACCTTTTCTACCCTTCATACATTGTGTATAAAGATTTATCGAGTGTAGTTAGTGCTCAGCCACAGTTCCATTTTAAACAGCTTATCAATTTGATTTAGAATTCAGAAAGTTTTTTTAAACTTTTGAATTTGTATGCTGAGTTTATATTTTCATGGAACTATTTTGAAGTTTTTCCCATACCAATTATATTTTTTTTTTCTATCTTATAAGAGTATTTTTGATATGCGCAGTGAGATGTACCAATTTTGGTAACTCTTATAATGTTGCAGTTATCCAATTTTCAAGTGCTGAATTCTTTTCAGCTTTTTTGTTTTACCATCAACTGTAATCGCTGACAACAACATGCATATGCTATCATTATTAAATTTCAAACAGTGCATTGTCCATAAACTGTTGTGAATGCAAATATAGTCATAAAGCATATCCAACTATCGCGGTCATCACATGACTTTTACAATTCAGTTGTATATCATTAATGGCCAATCGTTTTATCAATGAAAATCAATGGGCTACAGAGATTAAACGATCATAACTTTTTTGTTACATTGTGTATTTTACCTTCCAACCCCGCGTTTTAAAGAATTTTCTTGTTTACAATTAAATATGTTCTAAATTTCAGTTCAGAAATATGATTTCTTGCTTCAAAATGAGTCAGTCTGAAAATTGAGGTGCCATAACCACACAGCCTTCGTTAACTTCTTCGTTAAAAGTCGATAAAATTGCAATGGGACCTTCTTATATTATCAATTTTCTCAACTTATTTATTATAAATAATATCCTTCCAACCCCTAAAAATGTCGACAATACATTTATTTCAAAGAAATCAAAAACCAAATCAGTTTAGGTAAACTTTTTACTTCAAAATTTGATTGAAAGGTTCACATTTTGGCATTCGTTGGCAATATTTTGAAAATGGCGGCGCTGTCGAAAGTAAACAACGACACAACATGTATTCATTTATTTATAAATTTAAAAGATATATTTAAAATATTTTAAGTGTGTCTTATTGTTTTTAAGAAATTACTTATTTCATCTTCACTTTAGTATACTTATTAGAAACAGTCTATCGCACACAAAGTAAAGATTTATATGCATCGATCATGCACTGTTTATATTGACATCTGGACTCGACTTGTGAAAAGATATTTTGTAAGATTTTTATGTTGGAAATCAAATAACTGTTGGATGCATACTTTTTCAGTCATTTTCTTACCTTAAAGCAGCATAGAATCAAACATAGTTTCTTTTTGAGAAAGTGGATACATTTTGTTTGTTTTGATAAAATTTCGAAGTACATGTAATGAAAAAAATGGAACTGTAGTAAATGTTATTGATTTTGAACCACAATTCAACTGTCACCTATGTTGTATGGTTACCTGTAGTTTTCTTTAGTCCCAAGGATGATACATTCTTGACTTTAATTTGATATAAGACTCAAACATTAGTTGTCCTTGACCTTATTTAAGCATTCCTGACTAAATGATCAGTTTGAGCTGTTGTTATGACAAGCCCTCCATCAGTCTTTTTTTCAGTTTTAAGTTTGAAATGCTGGGCCAATAAGGCCTCAACTTGGCCTGCATCACTCTTAGGGATCCATTTTACAGATGATTTGACGAACCTGTGGATAGACCTTTATATAACCAAATAATTAGGACCCCGCCTAGTGGTGGGTCGCCCTATAGTGATCAGTCTGTCTGTCCGTCCGTCCGTAACAAATTGTGTCCACTCTATATGTAGAGAACCGTTATAATTTTATACTTTATACTTGACATGTATATTAACCAACACCAGAGGGTGTGTCATAATGTTTGTACAACTTCCTAAGTCAAAGTTCAAGGTCAAAAACTTTGGTTTCAGTTGACAACCCCATGTCCTATGGTAAAGATCGTGTCCGCTCTATATCTTGAGAACCGTTATGATTTCAAAGTTTATATTTGACATGTATATTAACCAACAGCAGAGGGTGTGCCATAATGTATGTACAACTTCCTAGGTCAAAGGTCAAGGTCAAAAACTTTGGTTTCAGTTGACAACCCGATGTCCTATGGTAAAGATACAAATTTTTTACCACACATTATTTACAGCGAGGCCCACAGAGATGGCTCCCATCTCAATGATGTATAGTTTTTTATAAATTCCTATAAAGGACCAATTGCTATCAAGCTTAATGGATTTTATGGCTATGAACATGATGAACCCATCCAACATCAATTGTGACTTCCACTGTTACTGAAAAAAATATACTTCGACTTGACATAGTGCTTCACCCTTACTCTTGCATTCCACTGAAAATTGCTGTTATACAAATGTACATTATACTATCAAATGAGATTGTTCAGTTGGTAAAAAATTTTACTAAACTGATATAGGAAAGCCGCAGTCAAGATGTCAGTTTGAGTAATACTTGCGACTTTTGTATTATTAGGAGCCTTATTTATAATTTAAGCTGATTTGGTATTTGAAAATCATTACAGGCAACAGCAAGTCCTCTGGGTGAAGTTAAGTCATCATCAGACCTGTTCTTTGTAAAACAGACCATATCTAACGCCTGTGGAACTATAGCCATTGTACATAGTCTGGCAAATAACCAGGACAAGATCAAGTTTATAGGTAAGTCAACTGTTACCATAGATCACAGTATAGCTAAAAACCAGGACAGAATCAAGTTTATAGGTAAGTCTCAACTGTTACCATAGATCACAGTATAGCTAAAAACCATGACAAAATCAAGTTTATAGGTAAGTCAACTGTTACCATAGACCCCGGCATATCTTATTGAACCTTCGGACCCTATACCTTTTAGGAAGGAAACCCTTAAACACACTTTTTATGCCCCCGCCGTAGCGGTGGGGGCATTAAGTTTTACCCTTGTCCGTCTGTAGGTACGTCCGTACGTCCCAAAATTGGTTTCCGTTCTCTAACTTGAGTTTGCCTCAACCAAATGTTATGAAACTTATACACAAGGCTTATTACCACAAAACACAGATCAAGTATGAATTTTAATGGCGTCACATTAACCGTTCTAGAGTTATGCCCCTTTATAAATGGAAAAATTGCAAAATTTTTAGTTTCCGTTCTCTAACTTAAGTTTGCCTCAACCAAATGTTATGAAACTTATACACAAGGCTTATTACCTACCAAACACAGATCAAGTTTGAATTTTGGTGGCATCACTTTAACCGTTCTAGAGTTATGCCCCTTTATAAATGGAAAAATTGCAAAATTTTTAGTTTCCGTCCTCTAACAAGTTTGCCTCAACCAAATGTTATGAAACTTATACACAAGGCTTATTACCACAAAACACAGATCAAGTATGAATTTTGGTGGCGTCACTTTAACCGTTCTAGAGTTATGCCCCTTTATAAATGGAAAAATTGCAAAATTTTTAGTTTCCGTTCTCTAACTTAAGTTTGCCTCAACCAAATGTTATGAAACTTATACACAATGCTTATTACCACAAAACACAGATCAAGTTTGAATTTTGGTGGCGTAACTTTAACCATTCTAGAGTTATGCTCCTTTATAAATGGAAAAAATTGCAAAATTTTTATTTTCTTCTAAATATCAAGTTATTTTTAAAATTGGAGTTATCTTCCTTTGTCCATGATTATAGTTGAATCAACTACAATGAATGCTTTATACAATGCAATGTTTAATTTGACTTCCACTGATAAAACACAGATCAAGTTGAATTTGGGTAGTGTCACTTTAACCATTATTGAGTTATGCCCCTTTATAAATAGAAAAATTGCTGAATTTTTAGTTTCTGTTCTCTACTTCAGTTATCCTCAACCAAATGTTATGAGACTTACACACAAAACTCAGATCAAGTTCAAATTTGGGTAGCGTCACTTTTACTGTTCTTCAGTTATGTCCCTTTATAACTATATGATATGCAAGCAGGGGCATCATCTGTGTCCACATGTGGACACTATCCACATTTATTTGCCTTAGGTCTAGTTTAGAATAAGAGAAATGCTTTTGATGATTGATTCACAGTATTTGCATCGATACATCTCACTTGTATACAGTAATTAGGCTCAATATACCCTTGCTCTAGTGACTGTGTTAACATACATACATTTCAGTTTAAAGTAGAATTTTAAGCCACTTCCTCCAAATTCATACCTCAGTGACTATAGTTTATATGATCAAATATAAAAAAAGTATTCTTAGAAGCTCTTTCAAAATGCAATTGGTATTTGGTAGGTATGAATTGTTTTACTTTTGTCATGTCAGAGCCTTTTATAGCTGACTATGCGATATGGGTTTTGCTCATTATTGAAGACTGTACAGTGACCTATAGTTGTTAACTTCTATGTCATTTGGTCTCTGATGGAGCATTGTCTCATTGGCAATCATACCACATCTTCTTGTTTTTATATATGCATACAATTTGCATATCCAAGTTGAATATCAGGCTTTGTCTAAATAGTGATGCTTACATGACTATGGATTTCTACATTGTTTAATGCTATGTTGTGTTTGTATAAAGTTAGCTCTTCCCTTAAGTCATTCTTCAGTGGCTATCAAATTTTTGTATGCAAAATTGATAATTTCTTCTGGTTGATGTATAAAATTGAAAACAACACGTTTAATAATTTCATGCATATGATGTATGTTATGAAGTAGTACATACAACACTTCATTGATCTTGGGTAGCATCTGAAATTCTCCTTTTTGGAAAAGATTTTAAGGCCTAGCTCTTGTTTTTCTTGTTTAAATAAAAATTGATAAATGATTTACTCCCATATACATATAGTAAATTGAAGATAAGAAATAGAAATAAAAACACTGTTCCTTTAGTATACTGGTTATTTCATTATCTATTATTGGATTTTGTCTCATGTACATCCACTAGGACTGTCTTAGTAATACAACAGTCCATCAAATTACTGCTTTCAAGTTGGCTGTAAAGAAGGCAAGACATATCTTTGTGAAAACAGTTTTATTTATGAAAATTACTAATCTATGATGCAAATATAATTTAAATATAAACTGTGACTTGTATGATATATACAACAGATCCTCATGCATTCCAATTTATGAAACAGCAGTCTGCACATTAGTTATCTTCTACAGTTACCAGTATTTTGATATTTTTGTTGTAAACCAACAAACCATATATTTGTCATTTGTTTTAAGGTTGAAATGCAAAGGACTGAAACATGTTCTGTGCTAACAAAGGGGAAGTACCTTTTTGTTGAAAGATAAGGATTTTTTTTTGCAATATATACATGACACATGGTTGATCATGTCCATGATTACTAAATTTATTGCTCAAGCCCTTTTATGTAATTTTCTGTTATATACAAATAGATATAAAACACATACTCAGACTGTCACAAAATAGAAGTTCCTTCATAATATAAGTTCCAAATGGAAAAAATATTCTGGAATATTATTTCCACTGGAATAAATATTACTGTATATATTCCTAACGGAATAAATGGTATAGAATATTTGTTCCAACAGGAAGAGATATTATAACATTGTTTATAACAAGGTTTCCAGTGGAACTTCTGTTAGGCAGAACAAATATACGTTGACAAGACAAATTAAGAACTTATTTGATGTGGCTTCATGTCTTTATTTGTATCCATGGTAACTGTCTTATTTTGGTGTTGTAGGGATGCTGTTGTATTGACATTTATGTCTTAGATTCTCTTTATGTTCAGACAAATCATTTTAAAGATAATACATGAAAAGGGCATGCTTTTATTTCTGCTCTCAAGTAAATGATTATATTCATATTCATATAAACTAGATATGAATAGTTTTAACTTCTAATGGTCAATTTCTGCTTTATAAAAAAATGTTAGTAAACTAACTTTTACTTAAAAGTGACTGAGGAAGAACAAAAGGTTCCATTCTAGTAACCAGAAATGTCTTTGTGAACTAAACAATATTTTGTCTACAAAAAACTGTTTATTGAGCAAATGTTCATTCGAATGACAGCTGACATTCAGTTTGTAAAATGTTCTTCTAAATTGTGTGCCTTTAATAGCAGACTTGTTCCTATAATGTTATGAATCACAGTTTATTTGCCAAACTCTGAGTAAAGAATCATCTAAATTCCATTTAATTGATAAATTCAACAACACTTACCATTATCTTGATGACATTTTTTCGTTAAATAATCAAGAATTCTTTAAATATACTGCTCAAATTTACTCTAAGGAAATTATTTTGAATTTTGAAGGTCTTTCCACCAAAACCTGTATTTTGATATGAAAATTATAAAATCAAGTATAAAATGTCATTTTCAGTGTCAGATGATAGCTTACTGTGTGCTAATTACAAAAAAATATATGGTTTCTATACATGTTTTATGAAATAAGGGAGATGATTTGTTACTTCTGGTTTGAAAAATGTCACTTTCATCGGTACAAAATGATCGTTTACTTGACACTGATTCCAAAAAAAAGTGGTTCTATATACTTTGACATAAAATAAGTTTTTAAAAAAAGCTACTTTCGGTTCACACAAGGTCACTGTTGGTTGACTTTTTCAAGGTCATATGGCTAGTCAAAGCAAAGGTCAAAATCTAAAACGTCAAATTTACCTATGACCTTGACCTAAATATCAAGGTCATAAAGTAAGGACCTCAAATCAAAAGACCCTAGGTCTCTACTATGTATGGTTAATGAGTTATATCACCATACAGCTGGTTTTAATTTTGAGAGGGGAGAGAACTCCCATTCAGTGTCAAGGTACCCGTTCAACAAAACTTTATGTTGATTCAATATGTCGCATATAACAATTTAGTTAAAATATTTTGTTGATATCTTATACGGCTTCTGATAATAAGTAATAACAAGTCAAAATCAAAATTAAGACACATGACCTTGACCTCATTTTCTTTTAGTGGACCAAGAACCTAAAATCAAAACACCCATCTCTATCACTTATGGTTTACCAGTACAAATACATATCACTTATTTCAAATACATAAAGGGGAATAACTCTCAAATGGAGTCTTCATAACGCTTCGGTCAAAGTTAAACTTAACATTCTGAGGATATAACAAGCAAGTTGGAAAAATAAATTTGTCGCTTTCTTTTACAGTTGCGAAGGAGTAGTCATAACAAATTCAAATTCTTTATTAACTAGAAAAACAGTATTCAAGGAGATAACTCTTACAAAGAAAAGTGTTCAGTTAAACAGGGTCAGTTTCAAAAGCGTATAAACTGTACAATATTATATACAAAAAATCTAAGCGACATTTTTTGTAACAACAATACAGTGCAAGGAAAAAAAATCAGAACAAAAGCAAAAGGTCTTTCAACAGTGTTAGTCTTGTATGTTTTATGTGACGTCCATTTTCACTAAACTAGTACACATTTTTGTTTAAGGGCCAGCTGAAGCCCACCTTCAGGTGCGGTATTTTCTCGCTATGTTGAAGACCCATTGGTGGCCTTGGGCTGTTTTCTGCTATTTGGTCGGGTTGTTGTCTCTTTGACACATTCCCCATTTCCATTTTCAATTTTATGTATTACCAGACCCTGAAGAGTTCATGTTTGTTACCAAGTTGAACAGAATCTCATACTTTAACCAGTATGTACAGTGTAGACAAGATAAACAAACGATAGGTTGAAATGAAACAGAATACTGGTTTGGGCAGACAACCCACAGTTTAATTAATTTCTTTCTTCATATGATTAACAATGACAATGAGTAATGAAAGAATAATAAAAAGTTAATTTTCTAATATCAATTCACTTATTAGTCTTTGATACTCCACAACAGGAAGTGGAAAACAAAACAGCTGCAGTATTCAAAATGTTAATGAAAACTTGAAACATGAATTAAAACAATCAAATTACAGCATGTACAAAGAAGATAAAAAACCAAATCAAAAATACACATTATGGCATTTCTATGAAAATAATAAACCATTTGCCTGGGCCCAAGGATGTGGTGGGAAAGAATAAACTTCAATATTAAGTTAAACAGCCTGCAATGCTTTGTTCAAATTTAAAAGTGATCAAGCAAGCTCGTGATAAAACAAAACAGCAATTATGATCTGATTATTCAATAACAAATAATTAGGGCCCCGCCTAGTGGCGGGTCACCCTATAGTGATCAGTCTCTCCGTCTGTCTGTCCGTCCGTCTTTAACAAATTGTGTCCTCTCTATATCTAGAGAACCGTTATAATTTCATACTTTATACTTGGCATGTATATTAACCAACACCAGAGGGTGTGTCATAATGTTTGGACAACTTCCTAGGTCAAAGTTCAAGGTCAAAAACTTAGGTTTCAGTTGACAACCCCATGTCCTATGGTAAAGATCGTGTCCACTCTACATCTTGAGAACCTTTATGATTTCAAAGTTTATACTTAACATGTATATTAACGAACACCAGAGTGTGTGTCGATGTGTCATAATAACCCAAAAAATGGATGTGGTGTATCATACAATAATTTTTTACCACACATTATTTACAGCGGGGCCCACTGAGATGGCTCCAATCTCAATGATGTCTAGTTAAATACAATGAACAGTTAGAATTATTTAGATACCAATCAATACAGATACAAGTGGACAGGGTTGCAGAATACATGATATCCAACCTTAATTGTTAAAGGGAACTCCTGGGAGACAGTGATCAAATATGTAAACAAATTGCAATAAAGCATGTTCCCTCTGCATTAATACTTTGTGTAAATAAAATAAACATATCAATGGCAATCGCTTTGTACCAGCCATGAGCATGATTTGTGATAGTATCAATATCTGTCACAGTTACATAGGCTTTACAAAACCCTAACAGAAAAAATCTTTTCAAAGTAATAAAGTGTATATGATATGGCTTTTTCAATATCACACACCCTATTAGTCCTTCAACAAATATAATCCATAGAGCAGAGCTCTCTACATTGTATTGGTGTCTTGGGTTGATAAAGGTATGAAATTTTAAAAATATGAAAATTTGCCACTTTCAAATATATTTATTTTTGTGATTGACCAATACAAACTTGAAATTAACAATGTTTCGGTAAAAGTACCAATTATGATCCTAAATTTATTCGATGCTTAACATCAAACAACCTTAAATGTGAGGGGGGAATTTACAAAAGATAAGACTAAACACTTTACTTTTATAAAATGTGAAATTGACCTGTCTTTTGAAACACAATAAAAAGATAAATGCAGCTGTTCAAAACAAGATATATACTTATAAACGGATTTTCGAAGTAAATTGATTTGGGGATGTACGGTGGGTTGGCGGCTGGGCGGCTGCCAAACAGTGTCCGTTCATTAACATGAAAACCCTTTGACAAAATTTTTTCAAATTTAGATATGATGTTTCCTGTGACTAAATGAAGGTCAAGTTCAATTTTCACGATTTTAGCTTTTCTCGCTGTTGAGTTATAGCCCTTTCCCAAGAATTAAATTTTTGATGAAATACTTATTAATTACTAGATTTCTGTTCAAAGGGAATTAACTCATTTTTTAAAAGATTTTTAAAAGACCTTGTATTAATGATAAATGACATTTTGGTTTTTTTTTTCTTTTCTTTGGTAAATTGTTTGAAGAATTTTGTGGTAGGTGTGTTTGTTATTCTGTATAAACTAATTTTCTGAATGCTATATATATAACTTTTTTTGGATGAAGTGAACTCTTTTAATTAGATAAAAATCTATTTTTAATATAGGATATATTTCATTACATTACATAGTGTAGATGGTAGATAAGTTGCAGATCATATTAGTTTGTGACAAATGAAGGAAAAAATACTTGGAACTATTAATTATATTTGATTATAATTTGAAAATAGATATACATTGTGTTACATCATATCTAATTTTGGAGAACTATTTAATTTTTTAGTGGTTAGATCATATCTAATTTTAGAGAACTATTTTTGCTTTATTAGTTTCTGTTCAAAGGGAAATAACTCAAACTTGTTTCCATAAACCAGTTATCATAATATTAGTATATGGATTTTGTTCAATTAATTTTAGTCATTAGTTGTTAAAAATTTCTTTATAACTATTTTTTTTTAAGTCATGTGTGTTATGAAGGTAAATGTCACAGTTGTTGTGTGGTATTTTATTTTTGTTGTGTGTGTTAATGTTTAATTTTTACATGATCCTGTTTGGGGGTTCAGATTTGCAAATATCGTTTTCATAATTAATTAGATAATAATCTATTTTAAATATTCAATCACAATCCAAATTCAGAGCTGTTTTAAGCTTAAATGATGTGTCCATGCTTGCTCAACTGTTCAGGGTTTGACCTCTGCAGGAAAATCCGGTTTGCTGTCACTCTGACACTGAGCCTCTTGTTTATACACAAATTAAAGTATGCCGCTAAAAATTATAATGCAACTTTTTTTATAAGGACAAGTGGTCACAAAACAATTTTTTAAATTCCATTATATGTCTGACCATTGATATGGGTAACAAAACAATTCCACCGCCATGTCTCAACTGCTTTGTTATACTATTTTTAGTAGATTACATTGTGTTGAATTGGTAAGAAAAAGAAATCAAAATCTTAATGCAGGTCCTGACATTTATATTAATACACTGCATTACTGTGGATTCATCATTATTCGTTGGATACCAATTTTCGTGGTTTTCGTGGGTACAGGTGAACCACAAATTTAAATGTTCAACAAATTACAAATTTTCTATCAGGTTGTATGCAGACTTTGGCAAAACATCGAAATCTCATATCCATGCAAGAAAAGGCAAGTTTTCCACAATCCATGAAAATTGATACCCACGAAAATAAATGAATCCACAGTATAAGTATTAATTAAATTTATTACGACTACTTCAGTCTGTCTTTAAAAAATATACAATGTATTATCAGACTTCACGATTATGAGTTTTCTCTGTTTTGGGTTATAATGAAGAATTTTAGTGGTTTTGTTCAGTCCTTCTGTTGTGACAGTTATATACACGTATCTACCTATAACTAAGTCTGACAGATAATGTATGTATAAGACATAAAGTAATCTACTTATTTAGTTATATTTCATTGTAGACTGTAACTGTAACTTGTTCATTTTGTATGGTCATTAGTTTCCGTTGTGTGAGATTATAATGTATCCCATCACAATATGAAATAGATTGAAGTGTCTTTACTGGTTTATACTGTTTACCATCAGATGACACATGTTGTACTGATCTATCCTTACACATCACATACAGACTGCCATCTTGTAGTGTAGTCATCTTCTTGGGTACTGATGGTAATGTTAGAGTATGATGTCTGTCATCAGTATAACTGTACCAGTACAGGTTGTTGTTGTTGTTGTCGGAGTAGGTATCACAGTAGAATATTCTGTCACCAGAACCATGTAACCTGCCAGGATCACAGTCAGTCTTTATTGTCTGTACCACCTCTTCTGTCTGATGATCTATGATCTGTAGTCTCTTGTAACCACCTACAACTAACTTGTTGTTTATAGTTGTAATGCCACTATTACTCCTCATTCCAGGTACTAGTATTGATTTGGATTTGAGTTTATTGTTTATGTCATACATCTCTATCCTGTCTGTAAAGTTTGAAGAAACCATCAGTGTAACAGCAACTGTAGAGTTGTTGACTGCTGTAACATGCCATGGTTTACCCTGTACAGGTATATTGTCTACCTGTGATCCATCTGTATTATAGATTAGTAGTCTCCTCTGCCGAGGTACACACATCACCAGTCTACCATCATCCATCATCACTGTATCTGTTTCTCCAATAATGTCATCACCAATTACTGATGACAGGTCTGTCTGATGATGTACTTTGAATAAGGATTTTCCAAGCTTTGGTTGTGCTGGTTGTTGTTTACTTTTGAATAGTTTGAGAAGAGATGATAAACCACCTAAAAGAGTTAAACATTAAACTTTTAACAAATCTTAAACAGTTTTTGAGAATAATAACAAATTTTTCAAATATTTTTTGGTTCTCAAAAAAGTTGAAAAATTATTGTTACTGAGCATTGTAGTTAATAAAAATACTTTTTTGGTAAATTATAGGTTTTGAATCATCTTTTATGTACATTTTTCTTTTAAATCTAGAGGCTTGAGATCTAAAAAAACAACTAGTACTACCATTTCTCTTTGCCTGTCTCAAGTCAGGAACTTCATCAGTAGTTGTTGGGTGTCATATTTTAAGGTTTTTGTCGAGCCTGCGACTTTTGTCGCAGAAAGCTCGACATAGGGATAGCGATCCGGCGGCAGCGGCGGCGGCGGCGTTAGCTAACTTCTTAAAAGCTTTATATTTTAGAAGGTGGAAGGTCTGGAGGCTTCATACTTTGTATATGGATGCCTCATGTTACGAAGTTTCGGTCAGTCACATGTCCAATGTCCTTGACCTCATTTTCATGGTTCAGTGACTACTTGAAAAAAAAGTTAAGATTTTTTGTAATGTTAGATTCTCTCTTATTATAAGTAATAAGATAACTATATTTGGTATGTGCGTACCTTGCAAGGTCCTCATGCCCGTCAGACAGTTTTCACTTGACCTCGACCTCATTTCATGGATCAGTGAACAAGGTTAAGTTTTGGTGGTCAAGTCCATATCTCAGATACTATAAGCAATAGGTCTAGTATATTCGGTGTATGGAAGGACTGTAAGGTGTACATGTCCAACTGGCAGGTGTCATCTGACCTTGACCTCATTTTCATGGTTCAGTGGTTATAGTTAAGTTTTTGTGTTTTGGTCTGTTTTTCTTATACTGTATGCCATAGGTCTACTATATTTGGTGTATGGAATGATTGTAAGGTGTACATGTCTAGCGGGCAGGTGTCATTTGACCTTGACCTCATTTTCATGGTTCAGTGGTCAAAGTTAAGTTTTTGAGTTTTGGTCTTTTTTTCTAATACTATGTGCAATAGTTCAACTATATTTGGTATGTGCGTACCTTGCAAGGTCCTCATGCCCGTCAGACAGTTTTCACTTGACCTCGACCTCATTTCATGGATCAATGAACAAGGTTAAGTTTTGGTGGTCAAGTCCATATCTCAGATACTATAAGCAATAGGTCTAGTATATTCGGTGTATGGAAGGACTGTAAGGTGTACATGTCCAACTGGCAGGTGTCATCTGACCTTGACCTCATTTTCATGGTTCAGTGGTTATAGTTAAGTTTTTGTGTTTTGGTCTGTTTTTCTTATACTGTATGCCATAGGTCTACTATATTTGGTGTATGGAATGATTGTACGGTGTACATGTCTAGCGGGCAGGTGTCATCTGACCTTGACCTTATTTTCATGGTTCAGTGGTCAAAGTTAAGTTTTTGAGTTTTGGTCTTTTTTTCTAATACTATGTGCAATAGTTCAACTATATTTGGTATGTGCGTACCTTGCAAGGTCCTCATGCCCGTCAGACGGTTTTCACTTGACCTCGACCTCATTTCATGGATCAATGAACAAGGTTAAGTTTTGGTGGTCAAGTCCATATCTCAGATACTATAAGCAATAGGTCTAGTATATTCGGTGTATGGAAGGACTGTAAGGTGTACATGTCCAACTGGCAGGTGTCATCTGACCTTGACCTCATTTTCATGGTTCAGTGGTTATAGTTAAGTTTTTGTGTTTTGGTCTGTTTTTCTTATACTGTATGCCATAGGTCTACTATATTTGGTGTATGGAATGATTGTACGGTGTACATGTCTAGCGGGCAGGTGTCATCTGACCTTGACCTTATTTTCATGGTTCAGTGGTCAAAGTTAAGTTTTTGAGTTTTGGTCTTTTTTTCTAATACTATGTGCAATAGTTCAACTATATTTGGTATGTGCGTACCTTGCAAGGTCCTCATGCCCGTCAGACAGTTTTCACTTGACCTCGACCTCATTTCATGGATCAATGAACAAGGTTAAGTTTTGGTGGTCAAGTCCATATCTCAGATACTATAAGCAATAGGTCTAGTATATTCGGTGTATGGAAGGACTGTAAGGTGCACATGTCCAACTGGCAGGTGTCATCTGACCTTGACCTCATTTTCATGGTTCAGTGGTTATAGTTAAGTTTTTGTGTTTTGGTCTGTTTTTCTTATACTATATGCAATAGTTCAACTATATTTGGTGTATAGAAATATTTTATGATCTATTTGGCAGTCACGCAGGTTTTATTTGACCTTGACCTCAATTTCAAGATTCATTGCTCAGTGTTAAGTTTTTGTGTTTTGGTCTGTTTTTCTTAAACTATAAGCAATAGGTCAACTCTATTTGTTGTATGGAAGAATTGTTAGCTGTACATGCCTGCCTAGCATGGTTCATCTGACCTTGACCTCATTTTCATGGTTCATTGGTCAATGTTTAGTTTACTTGGTTAATGTTAAGTTTATGTGACAGTTGTAATAAAGCTTTATATTTAGGACTATCAACATAATATCAATGATTAGTAAAGAAGGCGAGACATTTCAGCGTGTGCACTCTTGTTTGTTTTTAAAAGAATTGTGTATCAATTGTAGATCTTAAATCTTAACTACTCTTATGGACTCCAGGAAATTTAAAGCTAGACATTTTGAATAGACACCAGTCTATTGTTGAAGACTAAATGTCAATAAACTTACACAAGCCTAGGAGACAAATATTGTTCCTTAGAAAAATTGCAACCTTTTTTCCTTACCTTAGACAGTTACAATACATATATTTGACTTGGTGAAAATAATAGCTGAAGAGCTTTAAATTAAAAATTAGAACTTCTAAAAATAAACTTACGTAAAAAGAGTGACTTATTCTTTGTAGTTTGATTTCTTAGTACATCATGTATTTCCTGTGAAAGTAAATATAATACATGATTTGATCATTTTTGCAACAAGGTATTCTTTTCCCACAGCATTGTAATCAATACTTACTGTTGAGTTTTCTGATTACTTTAAATAATATCATACAAGTATTTATGAGACATCACTGATATCTGTTACACTGTTGCAGTAGAGTCTATGCATTTTAATCAAATATAAATACTTAAATAAACCAATCATCAGCCAATAAAGGGCATGTTATATATGAATGATTGCAAATAGACATAAGTAAAGAAACAATAATATATTATGATTCATGAATTTAGATTAAAAAACTTATTTTTTCTTAATAATTTTAAGAAGTAAAAAGGAGTTCAACTTCTCATATCTTATACCATATTCAAAGCAATTATTAACGAGACAATGACAAAATTGAGTTCTACCTTGTAAAGTGAATACAATAAAAGTTATATTCTTATCTTTCAAAAATGGGAAGTATGTATTTTTTAGCTCACCTTTCCAAAGAAAATGTGAGGCTTTGCCATCACTGGCGTCCGTCGACGTCTGTCCGGTGTAAACTATTTCAAACATATACTCCTCTGAAACTATTGAACCAATTCCAACCACACTTAAGCTGAATGATCCTTAGGGTATCTAGAATAAAGTTTGTGTTTTATTTTCTGTTTCATCAAAAAACATGGCCACCATGGCTAAAAATAGAACATAGGGGTAAAATGCAGTTTTTGGCTTATATCTCAAAAACTAAAGCATTTAGAGCAAATCTGTCATGGGGTAAAATTGTTCATTAGGTCAAGCCCTGAAATTGTTAGATGAATCTAACAACCTATTGTTGGGTTGCTGCCACTAAATTGCTAATTTTAAGGAAGTTTTGCAGTTTTCGGTTATTATCTTGAATATTATTATAGATAAAGATAAACTGTAAACAGCAAAAATGTTCAGCAAAGTAAGATCTACAAATAAGTTCAATATGACCAAAATTGTCAATTGACCCCTTAAGGAGTTAATGCCCTTTAAGGACAATTTTACACAATTTGTTTATCATGTTTTCTAACTTCTTCTCTGAAACTACTGAACTAAATTAAACCAAACTTAAGATGAATGATTCTTAGGTTATCTAGAATAAAGTTTGTGTTTTATTTCCGTTTCCTCAGAAAACATGGCCGCCATGGCTAAAAATAGAACATAGGGTAAAATGCTGTTTTTGACATTTATCTCAAAAACTACAGCATTTAGAGCAAATCAGACAAGAAGTTAAAGTATTCATTAAGTCAAGGTCTACCTGCCCTGAAATTATCAGGGTATCTGATTTTTTGGTTATTGCCCCTGAATTGATGATTTTAAGGAAATTTTGAAGTTTTCGGTTATTATCTTGAATATTATTATATATAAAGATAAACTGTAAACAGCAAAAATGTTCAGCAAAGTCAGATCTACAAATAAGTTTTTATATGACCAAAATTGTCAATTGACCCCTTAAGGAGTTATTGTCCTTTAAAGACAATTTTTCACAATTTGTTCACCTAGTTTGTTTACTTTGAAACTGCTGAATCAATTTCAGCCAAACTTGGGCTGAATGAGTTTCATAGTATTTAGTATAAATTTTGTGTTTTATTTCCTTGTACGTCAAGAAACAGCCACTACGGCTAAAATGGAACATAGGGGTAAAATGCATTTTTTTGCTTTTGAAAAAAATATGACAGATACAAAGAACATCTAAATGTCATTTTTAAGCCACTCATTAATATATATTGAAAAGCAAAAATAATCATTGAAAGATTTAAGCTAAAAATTACAGGTGAGCAATTCAGGCTCTTGAGAGCATCTTGTTTTTATCGAAATGAATACTGAAAATGTGGATAAAAGATCTTCAGTTATGAGACGCAAACTCCAGTGGAAAATTTTTCAAATCTCCAGTTGCTGACAACTCTGTCACATGTCTGCTTGAAAAATTGTATACTTCAACTACCTGCAGTAATTCTGTTTGATGGTCTAATTTAGTGTCCATCTGAAATGTTAAAAAATATTATTATCAGATTGATTAAACATAGAATGATCTTAAGTCTTCTGTGGAACTTCCCCTGCTGATGGAATAGTCTTGGATATATTTGTACAGTTTTTCTTTTTAATAGTTGATTGTTGCTTAAGAAAATATCTTATGTCAGAAAAGGAATCCTTTGTTTCATTGTGGAAATTTGAAATGTCAAAAAACTTAAAACAACTTAAAGTTCAAATGCATAACTCACAATGCGGACAATATTTTATTATTAATATGCTCCACCATTCAATTTGATACACAGTGTCTTATCTGAGGGTGGAAAAGGGTTATTTTCGGGGAACGCTTTCTGCCTTTTTCTATTACGTGTTTTTGTGTTTTGACGTTTTATTTCTCAGTTTCTTGTGTTTGGTTCGATGTGCATACTTCGTGTTCCCCCTTATTAATTTTCCGTGTTTCGTGTTTGTACTCTTAATTTCTTGTGCTTGTCCCGCATTTAATTAAAAAGTAAACCGGGACTGAGTAATAACTTCTAGTATTTTTTTCCTTAATATTTACGATTTTATTTCTCGTGCTTCGTTTACCCCGATTTTTATTTTCCATGCAATGTTTTTGTGATATCTTCAAGTGTTTCCGTGTTCAGACACCCCCTTTACCACCCTCTTATATTATTCAAATCTTACATGCTTGGAATATGAAAAAATGTTTTGTCAATACTTTTTTCTTTACTCCTATAGATATAAAACTTATATTAATTCATTTATGTATAACTGTAGCAGCCCTCAAAGCAGGTTTAAAGACCAGGTTGCCTTTTGGCCACCAAATATAAATTTCAGTGGCCAATTCAAAATTTTTAGTGGCCAGGAAATAATTTCAGGTCGTCTAAGAAATTTGTTATGAAAGTCTAGTCAGTAGAGCTAATGAAGACTAGTAAAAAAAGCATATCAATAAATTTTCTATTATATAGAATAGTAGACATAAAATAAGTTAGTCTTATTGCTTATAGTTAACCCTTGTATATCTTTTGTTCTGATCTTCTTAACTATACTAGATAAATCAACTTTGACTACAGAAATACAATGACCAAACCATTTTCAGATTGATTATAGATCAACCAGGAGAACTCTTTTAGCCAGCTGTTTTGAAATTTTCTTATAAATTTTCCAGTACCACTTGAAGTTGTTGCCGCGATTTTACGCTTAATCGTAACATTAGAAGATATACTTGGCTCTTCAGAAGCCGGAGTTTCTATAAAGGAACTCTCTGCCCCTTCTTTTTGTTTCTTAGCTGGTGAAACATCGTTGTTTGTGGTAGTTGTTTTTGAAAAATCCAGACAGCAACATCTCTTTGTCTGCCATGATGTATTGGCCCCGAAAACACCATATCAGACGCTTGAATTCCAAGTTAAGTTAACTGCTTTATAGACCTTGTTAAGATTAAAAATGCTTGAAATCATATTCAAGATTTAGCATACATTCAAGACCTCGTATGACTGTGAATAAAACTTAATAAAATATGGCCGGAGGCAGGTTGATTATCCAGAATTTTACGTTTGCCAGGTCCAAATAGTACCAGTCGCCAAATGGCAACCAACAATGAAATTAAGGTTGCCTGGAGGCTTTATAGGTCGCCCAGGCGAATGTTTTAATAGCCTATATTGAGGACTGTGTAGGTAGCAGATCAAGTTTGTTATTCCTTTTTTGGATGACCTACTTTTCCAGTTTTTATTATACGACCGCAAAAAAATTTTGTGGTCGTATATTGGTATGACGTTGGCGTCGTCGTCGTCGTCGTCGTCGTCGTCCGGCGTCGTCGTCGTCGTCGTCGTCCGGCGTCGTCGTCCGGCGTCGTCGTCCGAATACACATTGGTTTTCGCACTCTAACTTTAGTTTAAGTGAATGGATCTTTTTGAAATTTGACCATAAGATTAAATACCACAAAAGGAAGGTTGGGATTGATTTTGGGGGTTATGGTACCAACAGTTAAGGAATTAGGGGCCAAAAAGGGGCCAAAAATAAGCGTTTTCTAGTTTCCAGACAATAACTGTGGAACGGTGTATGGATCTCTCTGAAATTATACTACAAGTTTCCATACCACAAAGGGATGGTTAGGATTTGCTTTGGGGGGTTATGGCTCAAACCGTTTAGGAATTAGGGGCAAAAAAGGGGGAAAAACAAGGTTGTCCTGGTTAATGGACAAATACTTTAGTACAAAACATAATTTAAAGCAGTGTAAGGGAGATAAATCAAATACATCATTGAAATTATCTCCCTTACACTGCTTTTAAATTATGTATAAAGTAATGGTTAATGAACAATAAAGATAATTTAAAACAGTGTAAGGGAGGTAATCCAAATACAAC